CTGGAGAACAACCCAAAATAATGCATGGGGTGACCAAGAACCAACTGACAATGTTCTGATCAATTGTTGGCATGAATTCTTACAAACACCTTATGGACAGTCTAATGTCCCAGACTGGTTTGATAAACTACAAGCTGTCATTCAAAGTCAAGAACCAGAAGATGAACCTTCTGAAGAACAGGAGACAACTCGAGAAGAGTGGATGATATTATCAGACCTAAACACTCCTTTTGACAACTCTGAACAAACACCAGAGTCCACATATGACTGGCATCTTGACAGAGCCAATTATTCAGAACAACAAATGCAAGAAATGCCAACATGGATAAAAACAAACAAAGAGGAATACACTAATGATGAGCAATAGGATGTTGTTGACATCAACAGTTTTAGTGAAATGCAAAAACTTGCTTATAATATTGTTAAGTCTCATTTTGATGATACATCAGTCGAGAAAGAGCCATTATGTCTCATTATAAATGGTGTTGCAGGAACTGGTAAAAGTTACCTTATTAATGCTATTAGAAATCTTTTGCAAAGTAAATGCTACCACAGGTAAAGCTCTATTAAAATTACCTGTATAAAAGTCAAGAGGTAATAAAAGACCTAACCGGACAAAGCTTGTGTAGGTTACAAGAGAGTGTTAATAACATTGGATACATCATTATTGATGAATACTCTATGCTTGGCCAAGTTACTTTTGGTTGGATAGACAAGCGTTGCAAACAAGCAACTGGTTGTAATGACAAAGTATTTGGAGGAAAATCGTTGATTTTAACTGGTGATCCAGGTCAATTGCCACCAGTAGCAGATAAACCTCTTTACCATGCTAGACCATCAAATGCTGTTGGTGAACAAGGTCATCAAGCATATCATATGTTTGACAAAGTTGTTAAACTCACTGTAAATCAACGTGTGCAAGGTATGACATCTGAGCAGGTACAGTTCAGAGATTTGTTATTACGACTTCGCAAAGGTGACTCGACAGTTGATGACTGGAAGTTACTTCTGACACGTCAACCATCAAATGTTACTAATTTATGTGACTTTGAAGATTCTACTAGACTCTTTTATAGTAATGAACAAGTTGGTAATTACAACCATGAGCAGCTAACAAAACTTGAACATCCAGTGGCTCATATTAATGCTCGCCATTCATCAGCATTGGCCAAAAAAGATATCCTCAGATGATATGTCTGGGTTAGAACCTGTTGTGTTTCTAGCAAAAGGTGCTAGGGTCATGTTAACCATGAATTTGTGGTCACGTGTTGGCCTCTGCAATGGGGCTACTGGAACAGTTGTTGATATTATCTATCAGAACAACCATCAACCACCCGACTTACCTATTGCGGTAATAGTAGAATTTGAAAACTATAGAGGACCTGTTTTTAATGAAAGCCGACCATTGTGTATCCCAATATATCCAATCACTGTCACATCACAGACAGAAATAGGTTTCCATGAGAGGCAACAGTTACCTCTTAGACTCGCTTGGGCTCTAACAATACACAAGAGCCAAGGACTTACACTTCCAAAAGCATGGATAGATATTGGCAAATCTGAAAGAACTGCTGGGGTTTCTTATGTTGCTATTAGCAGAGTAAAATCACTTGCCTCTTGTGTCATTGAACCAATGACGTATGAACGATTAACAAGCTTGAAATCATCTGCTAACTTACAATATAGGCTTGAAGAAGAAAACAGGCTAGATCAATTAGCACAGGCTACCAGCAGTGCATTTTGAACAACAAGCTATGGAGTTTGAATAAGAGAGGGATTTCATATATGAATCCCAGTTATATTTTGGTATGTAGTTTGACTATATACCCTTTTAAATTATTTAATGTATTATATAATAACTAATTTACTCCTTGTTATGACTGTATGTATGAAAATATTATGATTTGCAAGACAGAAGAAGGGTAAGTTTTTTTGTTTGTTTAACCCCTCCCCCTGCCATACATTTATTTTCACTCAGTTATGTGCCAGTATGCTTCCACATAAATATCTCATGCTACCAATTATTTTTTTCTATAGTTTTGCAATTCCGACGGATGTGAATGGTGCCATGATAACTGCTGGATGAAACCAAGTGGTTGTTACAGCCAAAATATAATATGGATATATTACTGTACATCTCATGAAAATGGATAGGAGCTTCTGGATTAACAGAAATGTATTTCTACTAGACAAGAATGCTGATTTACAAGATTGGATATATTACAATACATCTAATGCAATGGGATATTGAATCTGCCATGTATTATTAAATTACTGTACTTGTTTCCAATCTACCATATGGATGTCAGGAACATTGTAATGTCTACTACGTGAAGATATTACATACCTTTATACAGTATGTACAGTAACCTGACAAGTTATTGGACAATATGATGGCCAACAATGGACACTACCTGTACATGCTAAATAAATACGAAACATCTGCAAATTGGACAAAAAACCCATCAATCTCACTGTCTTGTTTACCAATTGGAAAGTACAGTAGACTATTATTACTTGGAAAGAATGTGAAAACTTGCAACAAACTAATCATATCACGTCAAAAGACATTTTTTTGTTCTTCGTAATTGTGTTCTTTTAGACGTTTTGACAAGTGAAGACGGTTTAAAACATTGGTACCAACAATAACATGTGTAAATATGAAAATCCGAAGTACAGTTTACAGTATATAATAATTACTGCACTATTAAACAAAATAAATTCATACATACAGTGTATATATAAGGCAATTTAAATAAATTAAGTTTTTTGGTGTAATCAATCCCTAAGACTTTGCGTCGTAAGGCAGCACTTCCCTTGCGATAGTAACTTCTAGTATTTATCGCATGCGGAATGGCAGGCGATCAGCACAACTTTTTGAGATCCATCGTGAACGCAAGTTAATAATAGTTGTGCATGTCAATGTTATAATTCTTTTCAAATATGGCAAAAGCGGTCAATTTCTCACAAACGTCAATATATCTCACATACATTGCAGATTGTTTGAGAACGAGGCGAGGAAGTCGAAGCAACTTTAGCCGGCACATTGAACCTTCAATGTCCGCGGCGGATGAATCATTTTTGTATCTGCGCGGAGCGCTAGATACTATATGCTATCGAGTTGTGTGTGTGCGCGTTAAACACTCGATCGAGGTCGAATAATTAGGGCTGCGGTACGCCTGCGAACAGGCCGCAAAACAAAGATGGCGGCTCAGTCTACAGAGTGACAAGTATTTTATATTTTGCTCTGGCTATGCATGTATATAAGTCAAAATATTCCGATAAAAACTTTTTGTTATATCTTGTAAGATTGCCCAAAATAACAATGCCAAAAATCTCAAATTTGATTGGTTACATAAAGGATATGTACTAATAGTTAACATGCACCGAAGCACGTAAACGAACGTAAAGCCTCATTACTGAACGAAACAATCGTTAAAACTACAGTTCCGTATTGACTGATAGAACTCAATCCGTTCTCAATCGTATAATAGCAAGCTCTTATTGGACAAACATTTGGCATAATTTATTCGCACGAAAGTTGGCAGTGTGTTGGTGATTTACATACGATTGCTTAGGCTACGTACGGAACGTATAAACGCGAAATTTGCATGCATGAGATGGTATAACTCGAGACGTCTCGCTCATTCCTTGAAAAACTGGCACGCTTGATGCATGCCATTCTTTACCTAGTAAACTAAAACTCAAAATAATCCGCAGAATGTTAATTGATGATATAACTTTGGAAGTCGACATGGCCGCTGAATTTGCATGAAAGTAAAAACAATTCTCAAAGGCCAAAAGTGCATCAAATGTCTATACAATACAATTGTCATTGCGCTACTCAATACAGTATGTTTCGTAAATATTTCGATTCCCAAAGCCGAAAGCAAACATATTTGTAAAGAGTTTAAATTCGTTCATGAATCAATCATGATTCATGACATTACGAGATTCAAGCGAGGACATGTACATATCAACGGTCACAACGGACAACGGTATTTCAGCATTGAAGCATGCATATAAACACGGCTAGCCAGAGTAAAACGATTTTAATTTAAAATCGATAGAAGAAAATGGATCGCTAAAACATTTTTATGGCCAGTCTGGTTTTGGGATTTGACCTTGAGCTTGAAGGCTGAACGATAATTAATGTACTTGTCTTGTGATTCTTATAGTGTCTGGAGAAGTTTTAAGATTCAAACATTTTCTGTGAAAAATAGTTGGACATATGTCTGCACGAGAATGAAAACTTTGTATATGCAAACATATTTTCGCACGATGCGATAGTACGGCAATCTCTAGACTCTATAGTGATCTACACGACTATACATGGCGACATAGCTTCAAATCAAAATTGTGGTTAACTAACAACATGATAAAGTCTTTAGAATTCGCACATTTTACAAACAATATGCATATCTATGGTTCATTTACACATATTACATGTGGAGCCAATCAGAATTCAATTTCTTACGTCTGCAAATTAACATAACTGAATATACGTTTTTTTACGTGCTTCGGTGAATGTTAACTAATAAGGTGCATAAAGCAACAGGTGAGAAATTTGCCTGAGCATGCGCGAGTAAAATGAGCCACGCAATTGCGTGGAATACACGCAACGCGTGTTTACAAAAAGGCACAATCGTGTAAATATCGCCAAATGTTTGTACAAAATAAATGACTGTTTTATGTTGAAAGAAGACAGGATCTAAATTAATCATACAGAATTTTTTAGTGACGTTCTATTTCAGTACCCTGCCATTGTCTCTGGTGGGCTGTCCGTGTGCATTCGATCTGAAACAGTTGCTACTTTGCTGCTGAAAAATTTCGAATGTTTACATGAAAATAGAGGCAAGTCATGCATTTACAACCTCGTAAACTGTATGAGCCCCTATTTTTACGCTTATACCTAAGATATCAAATAAAAGTACATGAAACAGAGAACATTTTTTAGAAAGTTTTATCGTGAGGCCACGGCCAGTTTTTAAAATATATTTATTTCTGTTCCGATCATCACCAAAATTACACTGAAGCCGGGCTTGAATATACAACAAATTTTTAATCTCATCAAGCACAAAAACATTTAACGTGTAACCAAATATGCTCATGAAATCGAAATTAATAGCTAAATTTTTAAACTAGACCCTTCTCGAAGCGGTTTTCATGAAGGAAGTTCACATTTCGGCCTTTGATTCGTGGCAAAAATTTGACCACAACACGTGCGAAGCAACTGGGTCTCAAAGACTCAGTTAAAACATTGTGAGCCCTATTTTCCTGATGATATGTTTGATACCTACAAACGCCGAAAAGTTTTTTCTTTTCATTTTGCTATATTTGAAATTGAGGCCACGGGCTATTTTTGAGAAAATACAGTTCAAAGTCAAGCTATATTTACATATTTTCAAAATTTGTCAAATTTCGCGAGCTTGTAATTTGAACTTAGACAGCTGAAGTTACATTAAGAAACATAGGATGGAAAATTTGGGGCATATAAAGTTAATTTTAACTTACATTTCATTCTCATATCACGTCTTTCTTCATTTATTACGGTTTTAAACAAGTCACAGATCGACGTACACGGTATTTACTCCCATGTTCACGTCGCCATATTAATTTAACTTCTTCCAATCACTCGATTACAAAACAAATCATCCCAAAACAAAGAATTCATAGTCGACTTTTAAAAGAATAACCGTTAATTTGTAAATCGTTGAATGGAAAGCAAAAAATCGTCAGCTAAAACAGCTTCTTGCTAACTTTCTGCTTTGTTTTGAATGTAAATGCAATGAGCTTTTTTTCTGCCCGCGATTTTTTGGTCAGCGACGACAAATTTCCCACCTGTTGCATAAAGCTTAGTTTCCATTTGGTCGTTAGTTGTCGCTGGCACGACAAGCAGTAGATGTGAATTAGTCTAATATCAATAGTCTTTTTGTGCGTTATATGCAAATCAGTCTTAATGATTGCAGAGTTTTATAAAGTTTTGTTGACACTCTATTACATCAGCCACTTGTCGTGCCAGCGACAACTAACGACCAAATGGAAACTAGGCTTAATAGCGACCTAACTGCAGGGGCGCCGGAGCAACGGCGCATCATTAGCCGTTTTCACCAGGGCGAAGGGAGAGAGAGCGTGAAAACGCCAATACAACGAGCGTCCCCATCCGTGATGCGGGCTTCGCGGGGGGTAAG